CCCCCCACACACGTACACACACGCACACGCATTACTTCTATACATGTAGGGGCGTTTTATGAATTAAAATAATAATATTATGACTTCATATTTGCGTCTTAGAAATCAATAACTGCATCCAGGATTTCAACTGGGATAGGATACGCCTAGAGAGTTCACGTCGGTACATTCGTATACCACACCCGTGAATAAAGTGTTTTAGACACGAACAGGACGTAATATATTCCGTGGGATTGGCTGGTCTGTGCGTAGTTCCTGTAGATATTACATTCATTTTTGTGTGTGTGTGTTCTCTGAGAATTCACAAATTATATTCCCGTAAAATCAATCATTTTATTTTGGTAGACAAAGACGGCATAAAATTAATAGATCATTCAATCACGCCTACACTTAATTTCACGTTGAAAACACGCCATAATATGCTTGCATTGCATTGAAGAAAAATAAAGTGTCTAAGTAACATTTTGCTAAGAATAAAGTTCTTTGCTCGAAGACACACATCAAGATAAGGAGGCCAGGATAAGCAACCTGCGCTCATAATATTATAACCCTATGCAGTTGCGAATGCCGTAAAACTCTTACCAAAACAAACCGATAAGCAGGGGCACAGGGAGAAGGAAGTCAAACAGGTTGAGAAGGAAAGGAGAAGACGGAGAACTAAATTTCTCCGTGTTACGAAATGGATCTCTAACTTTTCATAGCTGACGTATTTCTTCTACTTCATGGCAGCCATACCCCTAGATTTCATGTTGCCAAAGACGCCACTGTGTATTAATTTTTCTGGTAGATTTCTTAGAGGGATATATTATCTGTGAAAACTTTGAACATCTATAAAGCTTTCTTCATACGGAAAAAAATCCTAGTATCTTTTTTTTATATTTCTGATTCTGACATGTAACTACTGTTTGTGAGAACAAGCAATAGTTGTTGTTTTTTTCAATAATCATCTCAAAAGTTGATTCTCAATCAAATATTGCCATTTCCCTCAAAGTTCTAGAAAAATTGAATTAACTTATGACGTTATGTCGTTTCAGTAGCTACAGCACTTGTGTGTTTGTTTCTGCTCTCGGTATATTTATCTTGTATGGTACTTCTTTACTTAAAGGAGCATCATTTTAGAAATATGAACACAACAAAACAAGCAAACAAACAAACAAACAAAACCAAACAAACAAAACAAGCAAACAAACAAACAACACCCCC